CAAACAGCGTGCTTTTAGCTTCACGCTAACACAGCTAAAGGGCTGTAATTTGATGTTGGGTGTTGCCTAAAATAACGAAGCCCCGGGCTGAGACGGCTGCCAAAGTGTTGAGAAATTTCAAGACAGTACACGAAGGGGCAGAGGCATACGGCTCCTAGTAAACGTGTTAAGGGACGCTTGCTTTTTTCTCAAAAATGTCTCCTTCGTTACTCAAGCATATGAACAAAAGTTAAGCCACTTAATGCAACATAAATTGGACTTGAACAGGCCCAAGGTGACCAAATACGCAGCATTGATCGACGCCATAGAAGTTCTCTACTTCTTAATTAGCTGCCTATTCAATAAAACATGATAAATTGTCCAATCGACCCCCAGGGGTGAAATCTGATGGGTAAATAAAACATTGACTGTTGGTTTAATATGCGGGTGCGCAGGGTGAAGGGGACGGGGGGAGGCTATCTAAGCCAGCTAATTCAGGTTATATTAAAAACCTTCCAAGCGTGATTAAAATCTCCTTAGTAGCAGAGTGGACATATGCATCCGGATTTTTCCAGTAGGATCCCATGATGGAATCCACTTGTATTTGCTACTAGGGTGGACGTGGACCAAGTAGACTCCGAACGGCTGGATTTGCCCGTCCTTCGTCTGCTGGGACAATCACAATTTAATCGTCTCTCTTGAATTCACCAAGGGCCTTCACCGTCGTCAGAAGAAAGTAAAACCAGTGAGAAACTTTGGTTGTCACACTAGACCGGTTGGCGCAGCAAGACAGACGAACCATTGACTTGTGAGAGGGTTGGATAGAGAAGGGAAAGGGAAAAAAATGACAGCCTCCTGTGCTAAAGGGGCCTAGTAGCAAATCCAAGCAGATTCCATCGTGGGATCCTACTGGAAAAATCCGGATACATATGCCGGATTTTGTCCACTTGATCTGCACGTGCTACTAGGGCTCAAGACACCGTGTAGCAGTCAGTCGTGCGGACGGGCAGGCAACGAGTGAGACGACGAGGGGAGCATAGGGGTACGTCCATTATCGGTCCTTACCACAGCAATACAAGGTTGATAACATGATCCGGGGTCCTGGTTACAGAGTCCCGGTTTTCTCCTCTATACTGCGGCGGACTCTGCAATGCGCAGTAGACGCCCAGTCGTCGCCCGAAGTACAACCTTAGATACAGGCATTGGATCAACCGTACGGCCAGTGTCCACCAGGTGCTTTGTAGTTGGATTCTTCGGTACCTTGACCTAAACAGCCGCTGACCCAGGTCGTCAAGTATATCTGCTGATTTCACCGCATCTGCCTTACTCAAATTTATTCCGAGAAAAAAGTGCTTCAATACATACGATCGTTGTAGCTATAGGAAAACCGAATACTTCTATTGACACTACAAACCTTGACGACAGTATCCAATGAACAGGCATGGCCGGGTCAGTTACTTTCCTCCTACACAAATACTGACGGCCAAAACGGCGACAGAATCACTCGGAGACTGGCAATCCTTTATCCATATGACTCGATGGCCGGTCGACTTACGACCGGTCGGCGAAAATGCACTCCGCGGATGGCGAGTGGTCTAGATCCAGTTAGTTAGACAAAAACATTCAAGTCACGAATTCCCGAGAATGATTCGTATCCATCGACTGCAGATGCACCCAGAAATTAAACTCTACCGCCCTACTGAAGTCAATTTGTGACCTTGTTGTCCCCACAGGCTCCTCCAAGAACATGATGGTTCCAAGCTATCTAGTATACCATTTTCGTCACTACAAAGGACCGACAAAATGAGAATTAGACCAATGTTTGCATCCCCAGTGTGTGCATAAGTAAGGGAAGAGAAGAAGGTCGGTTTATCACCGGGGTTGTGCAAATCCAAAACGGAACAGTGAGCAGTCGGGTGCAGCGCAACACACCCCGTGTCTTGACTCTGCTGGTAATTAGACAGGTCAGACTGGACGAAAATAAGCCGCCTACCAGTGATGGATTATGAAAAACGGCTGCCACGAGTTTACGTTCGCATCCGTGAAGATAATCGTCCACGCCAAGTCCGGGTCTCTGTCCAAAAAGGAAAGAAGCACGTGCGTTCTGTGCTAAAACTAAGGACATGCAGCCTGCTCATACAGTTGCATGATTCCGGGGCTCGGAAATTCGCTAGCCGGTAATGGCGACTAAGTCGGAAACAGCTATCCCAGCATCCCCGTCCTTACTGACAAAGCGTCCCGACTACGGTATCTGCCTTCATAGATCTCCTTTTCAGACGTTTGTCGCTAACAGCCGTAACGCCCGTTTATCTAAACATGAATCTAAACGTGGCCTTTTGTTTATCCGCTTACAGTCTACGCGGGTGACGAACAGAGTATCCTGCAATAATGGAGAGAAAAAAGAGCTGTCCTTCTTTTCCCTCGTTGTTTAGGTGCTGCCTTAAACAGCAGAGTTAATCAAACAGATACAAAGTTAAAATGCGACCCCAAGAGGCAGCGAGAGAGAGGCTTAGATGGCGTCTGAGTTTTCAGCTTACTTAGTCAGTCACCCATTTTTAAAAAAGGAGTTTTATGTGCAGGGCACTTTATAAGACGCGCCGGTTGGCATTGCTGTCATGCCGCCCGCGGGTGGCGTCCAGACCGGATGTTCTTTGCTGAGAAACGTAACAC